AACGCGCGGTTGCTGGAGCAAGTAGTCCCAGAGGATCAAATAGTGTGCTGACATCGGACAAAAACGCTCTTTTAGTTAAATTAACGGGCGGTCTCTTCAGGTTTACTGCAAATGTGAAATGGTCTTCGTCTGTGTTCCATATTAGGCCCAAGGCGTGAACATCTTTCCCATCTACGATGTTTATGTTTATTTAGTTTATTCAGTCTATGATTACAATCTTACAGACTAGATAAAAATAAGACTATCATAATTAAAACTAAATACTATAGATTTAGATACACAAGTAGTTATAAGAAAAATTAATCAATAGATGACTTGAAAATATTTCTCGGCAACGAAAAATCAATATTTAGACTCTTTGAGATCTTGTTAAATTCTGTCAGAGCGCGGAAAATCGGATCAAAATGGTAATAGTTAGCCTTAGTAGCACGCAAGTAAAACGGCAGAGATGAGCGTAGAAATCTGTGAGGCACATTAAAGGATATCTTCTCCAGAAGGACCGAACAATCCAAAGAGCCAACAACCAAATAAAAAACGAACATGAGCAACTGGACAATTCTTCTAGTTTCAAGAGTTTGTAGGTGAATAAGTTTACAGCGGGAAAAATATGAGGGCATCGGGTCATCAAAGTTAAGGGAACTTAACGCAAAACGAACAAATTTTCTCTGCACTCTTTCGAGTCTTGCGGCATGACAGTCGTAAATGGGGTTCCAAATAATAGAAGCGTACTCTAGTTGTATCGTACTAAAGAGATAAATAAAGCTTTCCTGGTATATGGATCCTTAAAGTCTTTCGCATATCTACGCAGGAAAGCCAGGTTACTGTAGGCTTTTGGAAGCACGTAAGAGATATGATTGACAAACGAAAAATTTGAGTCAAAGACCTAAGTCAACAAACTCTTTCACAGAGGCCAAGCGAGTGCTAGAAATATCTTAATTAGAAAAAATAATGTTTGAAGATTTTGAGAAGGACATATGAAAATGAGAACGAAAAATGACACTGAAGATGGCACAACGCCGAAACCGGTTTGTCTGCAAACCAAACTTGACAAGGGATGACGGAAATTCGTTCCAAAATAAATCATCTTTCCACCCTGTCGGAAAAATCAACCAACACCAACACAGACATATGAAAACATTTATTTACATTTAAGTGAAGCTTCTTCGTATGACACCAACTGACCAGGTTACTCTGGTCGTACTGCAGAGAAGAAACATCCGACGAGTCGTTAACTCTACGAAAGAGTTTGAGGTCATCTGCATAGAGTAAAAACCCAGAAAATTTGAAACAGGAGCCAATGTCATTTATAAAAAGGACGAACAAAAGTGGTCCGAGGATACTGCCTTGGGGAACACCCGTCGTTGCCACAAAAGAGTGGGATTTACAGTTTTCGACTTCAACAAACAAGGCCCTATTAGACAGATAAGATTTTAACCATTGTAGAAAGGCAGAATGAAAGCCGATAGACTTAAGTTTATATATTAAGATTGCGTGCGACACCTTATCAAAGGCCTTCGAAAAATCTGTATAAATGGTATCCACCTGAGTACCATCTTTGAAAGCTGATACACAGAATTCAGAGAAAGATGCCAAGTTAGTAACAGTAGAACGCCCGACAACAAACCCGTGTTGGCGCGGCTCAACAATGCTCTTGGTAACGAAAGATAATTTCTCCTTTATAATTTTTTCGAATAGCTTAGAACAAACTGTGAGTTTAGCAATAGGCCTATAATTAGCGATGTCATTTTTATTGCCAGATTTGAATACTGGAGTAATTGATGCAATCTTCCATCTATCAATGAATGTGCCAAAAGACAGAGACAAATTAAATATATGACATAAAGGAACACATAAAGATGAACTGCAATGCGACATAACATAGGCGCAGAGCCCATCACTATCGCATTTTAGCGAAGGTTTAAGCGTGGACATAGAAGTGCTAACATCCAATTCTGTGATTGTGAGGGAACCGAAATCAATGCGTTCTGATAATTTCGAGCGAGCGTGTGAGTTATTCGGGTTATCAGCTTCACTATCAAAGTTTGATTTGAAGAACTCAGTAAAGAATTCAACTGTGTCAGGCAAAGATTGAGAGAATTTACCATTAAGGCACATACAAGCCGGTATGTTGGAAGACCCACGTTTACAGCGAATAAAATTCCAAAAAACCTTAGGATTTACTTTAAGCTCAGCTTCCAGTTTACCAATATAACGATTATAAAGAAACTTATCCAGCACATTAAATTGATTAAGATAATTCATATACTGATCCCTGAGAACAGCATTCGCAGTGTTGGCCTTATACAGTTTATGATATTTATTACGTTTATTCTTCAAATTTTTTAGAGTAGTGTTATGCCATGGTAATTTATGAAGTCTAGGAGGAAGAGGACGCACTTCAATGGAAAAAACCTCTGTCAACTTAGACAAGAAAGTATCAAAACATAAGCTCACATCATTAGTTGAAAGAATATTAGGCCAGTTAATATCGCTAAGTGCATTATTCAACTCACAGAAGTTGGTAATCCGAAAATTAAAAGCGGAAGTACACGAATTGCTCGGATAGAGATTACATAAAAAATGTTTAAAGAAATAACAAGCGGAACGTGATGTTTGTCTGTCTTGTACAGAGGTAGATTACTCTCAGAAAGGTTAAATATTAAGTTTTCGTCTACAAATACTAGATCGAGCATCTTAGATAGCGAATTAAATAAACAATTAATTTGAATAAGGTTACAACTTAAGAGACTATCAATAAAACTAGTTTCGTTAGATCACATGACGTTAGTAGGTGTCAAAATACCATTATTCTGTAAATCTATCCAGATAATATCAGGCAGGTTAAAATCACCAATAATACAAAAGTAGGAATCCATATTAGTGTCGCAGAGATCAACTATATTTTCAATATGAGAATTAAATAAGAGCTACCGGGTGGTATATATGATACGCAAATATATGTAGTGCCAAAGGAGCCATAAACGCTTACGCATAGCTGATCGATTAAAGAATCACGATGCAAAAGTTGATAGGCTGAAGAACGTAAGCAACGCTTTAGCGCGATTAACACACCACCACCTTTGAGGTGACCCGACTTCACAAAATCTCTATCCTTGCGGTACGTATTAAATAGTTTTGGATCGAAGAACTCTTCGTCGAAGAAGTCGCTATTGAGCCAAGTTTCGACGAATATAAAGACATCATAATCCATTCGAGATGATGCTAAGTAAATTTCTTTAGATTTCGTGCGCATACCACCCATGTTTTGTAAATAGATTTTCAAAGAAGAGTCACAGCAACTAGTTTCAGAATATATCGTGCTAGCTTTCCTTGTGTGACTTAGATTCTTTCTGAAAAACCCGAAAAGGTCGAACATTTATATTAGACGGCCAGACATTAGGGTTAAGAATCTTGTCGTAATAAGCTGTTGAGACACCGAGCTTGAAATTAACGCTTTCAAGAGAATCAACAGAGACACCTTTCTTTATAAGTTTATAACAGGTAAGATACTTGCTGTCGATACCAGCATATTTTGAAACATATGCGATTATATTTTGTTCAGAGACGGTGTTCTTAAAAGAGGATAAATGGACCCACTGCTTTTTTTCGACTACTTCGAGTTCGGCATTTTCATTGCGACCATAAAAAATATTTGTACTCCGGCGGGCACCATTACGACGCACAGTAATCCAGTCATTCGGACTAGCAGCAGCCATAGGAGAATTAGCATCAACAGGCAGTGTACCAGTGGTAGACATATTAGAGAACTGAGAACTAGCCATTTTAGGAGCCAATGTAGTACTAGAAGTCATGTTAGAAGCTACAGAAGTCGCTAACCTGTTATTAACAGCAGTAGCAGAGAAAGAATTCAGCGCAGATGACGTTTGTAGTGTAGGTCCAATGTTAGCCGCAACTGGCATTGCAGCAGCGACTGTAGTGGTAGAAATGGCATATGAATGTGATACCGCAGTTCCAGCATCACCAAAAGCAGAGACGACATGCATTACAGGTAGCGTTTCCATTGCGTAAGGCTGCAAAGTCATGGCAGCAGCATTAGTAGCTCGAGAGCCAGAAGGCGGAGAGGCGGCGTCGGCCACTGAAGAAACGGAGGAAACAGTACCACTAATTTGCTTTATTGTGTGAGCGGCAGCAGTGTGGGCGGCAGTTGCCATGACATTCGTCTGGTCAGCAGCAGAAAAACTCTGGTCGATTGAATTGACTGCGCAAGTGCACTTACAGTGAGAGGCATTTTGGCAAAGTTCACTAATCTCAGCAGAGAGCGATGCAAGGGCAACGAGTACATCTTCAGTGTGCAGTTTACGCAAGGCTATTAACTCAGCATGCAGTTTAGTTGTTTCATCGATTAAAAGTTTTTTGTCTGTATGAAGAGCACTAATCTCAGCGAATACATGAACTTGATCAGCTCTAATTGCTTTAAGCTCACTAAGAATAGTAGGTAGAATAGATAATTGTTGTTGCGATTCTTTAGCACTATTATTAGAAGCCGTAGACGATGACTTTGACAGCTGTTGTTGATGAGTAGAGTTGGAGATATTGGCGATATGAGCGGGAATAGGTGACTTAGAAAACGATGCAGACTTCGAAATGTCCACCACTTGCTGGTTAGCGGCAGGTGGGGGAGAGTGAAGAGATTTTCGGCGAATACCCGCGCACTTTTTACACATGTATTTGTTGTCAGAGTTCATGAAAAAATCCAGATCAGCAAGCGAAAGACCTGCACAGTTGATGTGGTAGAACTCGTTACAGTTATTGCATTGTACTTTCGCTTGGTTGCCGTCAACTTTTTGAGCGCAAACACAAGGCATGTTGATTACTAATTAATTAAATTATGACTTTCACATCAACTTTGTTTAAAAAGATGCAACAAATAGAGTCACTGTCTCATTGGACTAGGCCAGATCAAAACGAGGTTCAAATTTCGATATTTATTTTATTCAAACACAGGAGCGCAAAAAAACACGTCCGCACTTCACACTAATTCACGGTATAGATTCGGACGAGTTCGAAATAGTTTTATTTAGTTTCGCGCAATTCGACGCCCACTTTCTTAGTTCAAAACCACCTTCTTTAAGTATCTCGGAAACGTTTTGTTGCAGCGACTGAAGTTCTTTCCTACACGATGCGCCAGTGAGCAGATCGTCCATATAAAAGTCGTTTAGTATGACAGCAACGGCTTTCTGACAACTGTTCGACGAGTACCTTGCGGTCTGTTGAAGAGACTTTACAGCTAGGTGTGATGCCGCTGCTACTCCATATGTCACGCGCAACATGTGGTAGTCTTGTATCGGTAGTAAGGGGTCACGACGCCAGACGATCCGTTGTAAATCAATATGTTTCGGGGAGACGCAGACTTGACGGTACATCTTTGCGACGTCAGCCGTAACACCGTACCGATGAGTACGAAAACGTGTCAAAATGGAAAATAAATCCTGCTGCAGCTGGAGTCCGACAAATAACGCGTCGGTGAGCGAGTTTCCGGTAGCGCTTTTGGCAGATGCGTTAAATATGACCCTCAGTTTCGTCGTAACACTTGACTCTTTTACGACTGGTTGATGCGGCATGTAATAGACTGGAATCGAAGTTTTGGACGCAGGCTCCATATGACGCATATCAATGAGCTCCTGCATAAACTCATTGTAACGTACACGCAAGTCGTTGTCGCGGGCGAGTCGTCTTTCGAGGCGTATCAGGTTCTGAACGGCGAAAGTTCGCGAGTCCCCCAACGGTACATCGGATTTCAGGGGCAGCTCAACTATAAACCGATCATCAGAAGCTCTTCGATGCGTTGACTCGAAATGGTTTTCACAGAAACTATCATCGTGTGTTAGATGCGTTTTTTGTGGAGCTTCCTCCAGTTCCCATAACCTGGTTAGCGCCCTTTCCAGTGTCACCTCACAATGCACCGAATGCACTCGGGGCGTAGCGGGATGAGAGCCATCGACACTCCCAAACAACGTCCAACCAAAGACTGTTCGCTGGGTCATTGGCGTGCCAGACGGACCTTTGCGAAGATCCGAGAAAACGAGCCGGTCCATGACGTCCATGCCGACCAATATGTCGATACGACCAGGCTTCATAAATTGCGGATCTTCTAGTAACAATCCTTGTACGTGGGACCATGCTGAAACCGGTACAAACTGTGTGGGCAAGTCGCTCGTTATTTTCGACAAAATTAGTGTGTTTACTGTGAAGCGTCGATTGGAGCAGAAAGAAGAAAACGTTAGTACTGTCTCACCTCTGGATCGACCTCCTTGTGTTGACCCAATGCCGGTAATAAGCACGTTGGATGATCTTCGCGGTAGACCCAAGCGATGCACGCACGCCTCAGTTACAAACGAGGCATGCGACCCGGAATCAAACAGTAAACGGGTGGGTTGCCAATGACCGGCGCAATCGCGGACCTTTACCCACGCGGTGGACAATAGTACTAACCTTTCTGTTGGTTGAGGAGGGTTGGAGCTGGAATTCAGGCATGGTACATGTACAGCGGCGGTGTCCGTTGGAGAACTAACAGCGGGCGAAACATTTTCGTTCGCGCTTGGTGCGGCATCGACGGCGACAGGATGCAAGGGGGGGGGGGCGGGGCACATGAGACGTATCGTCAACAAAATGAGCAGTGGTTGTGGCATTGTTCACAAAACAAACACCATGCAACAGCGTGTGGTGGCATTGGCTGCATACCCTACATGCAGATGCACTGTTACACTTAGCCTTAAAGTGGCCCGGACTTAAGCAGTTCACATATTTTTTTTCGCTTTCGCAACGTCTTTTTATAATATATGTAGATTTACAATATATGCGGGCGGGATGTACTATCCGGCTAGGAAGGATCAAAAAATGTTGCGTTATTTACTGACAAAAACTCGGGTCGAATTCGAAAATTAAAAATATGCGGTTTAATTTCATAAAAGTTCACTTTTATTGATTTAGAGGAAAAAATGCGGGTGGTAGCAAGCGGTAGCAAACAGGCGATAATAGCTAATGAATAACAAATTAAAACGCGCAAAGAACTCAAGTGAGAAATACAAAAGAGTATAAAATGTCAAAATCGTTAACACTTATGCACAGTCTGTTGATACTTAACCCTTACATTAATATGTGCGATTAAAATATAAGAGAAAGCATAAATGAACCCAACAACAAGGAAGTGTAGCAAAAACAAATTCACGCCAAATTCATAAAAGGTATAAACTAAACCAAATCAAAACCGAAAGGAAAATCCCGGTGTTAAATAAGTTGCAAAATAAAATAAATTATATCCCAAAGTCAGACTGCTATCGGCAGCGACTCCGAAATATGTGGGGGGCTAAATACCCGAAAATTTGCCTATTATGTAATTCTAGTCGAGTTAATTAAACCCGCAAAATACTAATTAATTGAAAAATAAGTTAAAATTTACGAAAATAATCTGTGCAAAGCTAAAATAGGGTAAAAAAAACAAAAGGGGTGACACGTGGCGTGTTTATCTAATAAGATATATGTATATATGTATATATTAGGCCGGATCGATTTGTGGGGAGGCAAAAAAAATCGCCCATTGCTCTGTGAAAATCATATTCTAGGGATCAAAATAAGAAACTTTGCCGAAGGAACCATACCTCTAAAACGAATTCTGATGTCCCCCAATTTGGGTCGAACTTTTGGGTAGGGGCAAATATTGAAAAATCCCACTTTGACCCATTTAGAGTGCTCCAATCGAGTCCAAATGTATGACCGACCCCCACTAACTTTGGAGGCCCGACCCACCAATGCCAGTGGCACACCCCCTGGAACCCCCCTGGGGGTTCACCATACAAACATTTCAAAAAATCGCCGGTTTTGCACTTTACATGAAAAAATTGCAGATCGTAAAATTGCTTGTGTTTTTTTTTTTAAGCCACCACAAGACACAGCAGGTAGAATTGAAATTACCATTTCATTCTTATTACCTCGTCTCGTAGACCATATATAACGCAACAGTTTTTGTGAATGCATTAAGTCGTTGTGAAGAACTCAAAGTGTGAAGTGCTAATTTCAGATAAAAAAATATTTCAAAAAAAATAATAAGTGAAGTGACCATTCCAAATCAAAAAGTTTACAATGAATCCACCATCCTCTACACCGCAATATGAAGCAAATACATCAACAACTATCGAAAACCCAATGAGTCATATACCCAAGCATGATGTTACTGTTTTTGGTGTGTCTACTGATTTAACTGATCTTAATTTACCAACCCATCTGGATATCTTGAGATATTATTTTTACTTAAGCGAACGTGCTAAAACAGAACAAAAAAAGTTTTCCCATAAATCATTCACTATTCAAGTACAAGATAAGTTGATTGGAATTTGGGAAAAACTTGGTATGGAAATAATGCTGAAAAAAAGTGTATTTAATAAATTGAATAAATTGCTTGACAAGTATCAAGAGCAAATCAAGAGAAGAAACAACACCCAACAATTTACAGAGTATGTAAAATCTCTGGAAACAATTTTTTACATTAGAACATGTAAATGCGATTTGAAGGCAGCTTCATGTGCATGCGGCTGGGTTCCCGAACGCCTCAAAGAGTTCATGCACGATCAACATAATCAGAGAAGACTAACAATGGATGCATTTGTGATGGAAACTGAAGAGCAAGGAGCAACGTCTATGTCATCAATGCCAATATACCAAGATCCCGATGATTCAATATACGCACCGCCACCGGTTCAAGAAGATATGGATAGAAGCACAAGTTCACAATACACAGAGAGATACGATTGTTTTAACTTTGCCTTGGTATGTGACAGATTTGGTGTGCCTGACAGAGTAGCATCAGCATTGGGAACCGCTCTTTTGCAAGATTTTAAAATTAAAGATAAGCATGGGAAACCTCTCATCATGGATAAATCGAAAGTTCGCAGAGAAAAAGAGAAATGCAGACAAGAAGTGCTTCGCAAACGGTTAGATGATACCAATTTGTTAGCGTTTTCATTCGATGGCAGAAAAGATGATACTTTAACGATAGATAAAATTGATGAGAAGTATCATACTAGGATGGTAAAAGAACCTCATCTTGTTATTTTGAGAGAACCCAATTCTGAATAGATTGGTTACGTAAGACTGGAACATGAAACCGCTGAATACAAAACAACCAAATTAAATGGTTTTTTCAACGATAAATATATATTACTGGATGCATTAATTGGAATATGCACTGACGGTGAGCCAACAAACACTGGCCCACACGGTGGAATTATACGACGATTCGAATTACTGTTAAAAAGACCATTGCATTGGTTCGTTTGCCTTCTACACTTCAACGAACTTCCGTTTCGGCATTTGTTTGAAGCTTTGGATAAATCAACCAGCACTGGACCAAGATCGGCAACCGGAAAACTGAGCCGTCAAATCGAAACTTGTGAAACTTTTCCGGTAAGTTATTGCTATCACTCATTTATTATAATTGTCAACCATTGTTAATTATTTTATTATTATATATTTTCAGGTGGTGGACGGCTTCCAGAAAATTGAGTTGCAAAATATGCCCCCTGCTCCAGAAAAAATTGAATTTTCCACCGATTCGAAGTACTTATACGACATGGCCCATGCAATTTCTAGCGGCGTGGTTCCGGTGGATCTGGCTAACATCAAACCAGGGAAAATTGTACATTCTCGGTGGCTCACCAAGGCCGCTAGATTATTGCGATTATATGTGACAACGGAAAATCCCGATGCAAATTTAAGAATTCTGGTTGAATTTATAATTAAATGTTATGTGCCAATTCAATATCAAGTATTACAGCTCTGTCGTGTACGGCAGTGCATTATTTTTCAAGTTCATTGGTTGGTCACGATTTCTAGAACCTCGTTTACGCAAAATTGTCAATCAAGTAATTAAAGATAATTCATATTATGCGCATTCGGAAAATATCTTGTTATCAATGTTGTTTGATGATAGCAAAGAAAAGCGCGACTGTGCCATCAAGAAAATTCTACGCTATCGAACCGATGTTGACGAGCCAATGGAACTTAGAGTTTATAAAAAACCAGATATAAACTTTAATTGCACAAGTTATACGGAAATGATCAATTTGAATGATATAAATATCCTATTTGAACCACCATTCACGCGAAGCATTCCGTACGATACATTGAAAGAATATTTAAATCAAGATGATCCACCGTTTAATGATCCAAAAATTCCATCACACAAACAAGGAACGGAACGACATGTTCAATTGCTAGCTAGCGTTTCCAAACGGGTTATACCGGAAAATGTAGAGGCTGTTATGGCGACGACATAAGAGAGCCGTGCGAAATTGCCCAGACTTGAAAGTAAAAAAGACTTCAAACAATAATTTTTTTTAGTTTCTTTTCTATAACTCACTTAAGTAAATTTTTTCATTTACATATGTTCTGACTAAATAAATTTCTTAAGAGAAAAAATAGATATTATTATAAATAAATAATAAATATTATTATAAATAAATAAATAAAAATAAAGGAAAAACAGCCATTTAGCTGATTTTTTCATGTAAAGGCCAAAAATGGTGATTTTTTGAAATGATTGTATTGGGAACCCCCCAGGGGAGTTCCAGGGGGTGTGCCACTGGCATGGGTGGATCGGCCGTCCAAAGTTAGTGGGGGTCGGTCATACATTTGGACTCGATTGGAGCACTCTAAATGGGTCAAAGTGGGATTTTTCAAAATTTGCCCCTACCCAAAAGTTCGACCCAAATTGGGGGACATCAGTATTCGTTTTAGAGGTATGGTTCCTTCGGCAAAGTTTCTTATTTTGATCCCTAGAATACGATTTTCACAGAGCAAGTATATAAATACGTAAATGTGATTTAGTACAAGAAGAAAAAAAAGCAGTGGTCTAAAAAAGTAATTCTGCAAAAAAAAAACTACAACTACTACAGTCATTCCGCTGTTGGTCGTAGTGGCCGGCAGTCGCGCTCTCTCAGCGTCAGTTGGGGCGATCGCGGCGCTGCTGGCTGCGCTATGATGCTTGTATATATGCGAATCCTCTCCCTGAATTCAGCCCGCTGGAATTCTGCAAAATCCCACGCTGGTA